AAGAGAGGTCTGTGTGCTTTACAGCCTTTCACACAGAGTATCCCGAGGGTGGTTTCATACCAGACCACCAGCAGGTTATTTAAATTAAAACACTGCAATGATATTTCTTTTGTTACTCACCTTTTGTGCTTTGGTACGCACTTCAACTTAAGTGACTGGGAAAAGAAAGGAGCACTTATAAAAAACATTTATTTTTTCTAATAGTTGTCTCTTAAATGTGTATTAACGTATAGGAACTAGTAATAAATAATGTGTTGAGGAACTCATTTGTTTTGCAAGATGAACGCAAAGTTGTGTGCAACTGTGTAGAATTTCCTCTTGAATTTTTCTCTGTGTTTGTTTTATTTCTAGAAAAGGCAAACTGTGCAAAATAAGCCTGCAATTAAATTCCTATCCAAAAATCAAAATTCTTCCTCAATTAAAATGCTCTTTGTCTTTTTCAAAGTGTCAATATTCACTTTCATAATATAAAATCGAGGAAGGTTGTGTTTCTGAGGGGGAGGAGGAGATAATTTGTGCAGAACTTTTGCTTTGTAGAACAGCAAGGGGAATAGAAATGCAGTTTATCTTGTGTGAGATCTTTTTATCCAATGCATTCATATTATAGTTACAGAATTTTTTTAATTTACATGCTAAGTAGCCTCTGTCCTCAGAATTGGGGATGCAGTTGCACTGCAGATGGTTTCAGTTATCTTAGGGCTGTGTCTGTGAGGAAGTGTGCAACGTTTACTGCAGCGTTCAACATTCGATACCCTTAAAATGTGTTAAATGTACCATGTTTACTCTTTAATAAAGAGATAAGTTAATTAAAGTTCTTGTTTGTGTGTTTACAGGAGAGAAGCGTGACTCCTCAGCTCTTCTTTTTCCCTGTGGAGCCCTGAAAAGAGAAGTGCTTCCTACAGTACTTCGAGAAAAAGGTTGAACTTCCCCTGGAGCCTCATTTTAATTAGTCAGTCGTGAGAAAAGTTGTATCTAAAGCTTTTGTGAACCAAATTTGAATAAGTAAAAATTGAATTTGCTCTTATCTTGGCTAGAAGTTAGAGGTTTGGAGTGAAAAAGTGTGAGGTTGGATTGCTGCCTGCAGCCCTGGGACTGAGCTGTAGCATGACGTGAGCAGGATTATTTGCCTTGCTCTTCACTGGGTTCTCTTCTCCGAGGTGGAAGGTGATTTATCCACAGAAATGTTGCCAGACTTGCCAGCTTGCTTTGAGGTCCTCTGATTACAGCTGTGGTATATCTTGCAACTCTAGAAATACCTGCAAATCCTTCACAGATTTTTTTTCCTGTATCTTTTTAGCCTGGAATAGTGCACTTCAGTGCAATTAGTAGGTCGAGAAGGTTTTACTGAAATAATAGAAAATAATGAACCCGTTTAATTATGTATATCCTGATTCCAGGTATACCTCTGGAAAGCCTCACTGTTTATCAGACAACTCAACACGCTGACCTGCAGGAATCTCTGAGCAGTTATTTCTCGCAGCAGGTACTGGATGCTGATGTAATTTAAGGATTTTTGAGGTATATGGTAATACCTAGCAGAATGTACTCCTTTTTTTCAGCTGTCTGTAAATGATACTTGTGGTGATACAAGAATATCCTGCACAGGCTTCCTGTGTTGTTTCCCTGTTGACAACCAAGAAAATCCTTTAGCAAAAGGTTCAGACAGAGAGCGAGTCCCTTGATTACTCGTTACGGCAATTGTAAACGAGCCTAAATGACCCTGTGCATCCGTTTGAAGGAGAAAACAAAACCTTTCACATTTTGTCGAACTTTCAAAGCATCTGTGTGTTTCAGAATTACTGGGAAATAACTGCTTATATCATTACAGTCAGTTTATTCCTTTGAGCTGGACAGCACTTCTTTTTAAGTAATAGCATGTCAGAAATTACATTTAGGGAGAATATTTATTGAACAGCTTTATTATTAATTTTTATTCTTGTAATTGGAATATCACTGGATGTCTTTGCTGTATATTACAAATCAGAATCCCATAGTAATCTGCCCCACATAGTTCCAGTGTTCCTTCTCTGACTCTCTGATCTATACATGTATTAATGATCTCATTTTAAGTGCTAGATTTCCAAGTGACATGCTGTCGACAAGTGTATTGAGATCTATTTGCTACAATTATTAATATTTTTCTCTTTTTAAAACCATCTCGTCAATGTCATTAAGCAAGGATCAGTGCACAGTAAAAGATTAGAAGGTATTAATCATTGCATTTATTTTTTCAAGACTGGCTCTCTGAATTTTCCATTTGTAGGAGCCTACATGATATCCAGGATTAATTTTATTCAAAATACAGAGTTTCCTTCTTACAGAAACTCAGCCTGCTTGAGCGTGTCGCACCTCTTTTTAAAATCTGTGCACTAATGTCCTGTTAAATTACATATTGATTTTACAGTTCTTTTTCAAGAGGTCCTAAAAGGCTTTGGCACTGATACATGGTAGTATGCTGGTGTTCCTAGGTGGGTGTCACTGTTCTCATCCCCGCAGTATTTATTTTATTTCAGATGTAAAAGGCAGTCAGTTCCAAAATGTGTATGGACTACTTTCTGAACTCCTTATAGAAAGCCTTGCGTGCAGCAATTACATGTTAATTTCAGTGTAAAGCTGTTAAAATAGGTTTCTTCTGCACTTTTAGTTGTCCTTAACTGATGATATTGGTTGATATTTAGCGCATGGAGGGCTGACAGAAAACCACAAGCATGGAGCACTTGGTGAGACATGAACAGCACCGTGTTAAACTGTCCTTCTGGCCTCCCTGAGCTAAGGCCAGCTTCCAAAATACCAACAGATGTGGTGTGAGTGGAACCGCTGCATCTTTCTGGGCAGACAGAAAAGCATGGTAAAGGAGGCGTGTGCTTTGGGTCTGCAGCTCCAGAGCTTGGGACCTTCCCTCCAAACGGAATTTTTCCTCTGGCTACTGAAGGTTTGCCAGAGCATCTCAGGGAGGGCAGAACTTAAGGTAAACCACATGAGCTGGGAAACAGAATATGTGCAGAACTGAGATAGATGGGAGTGCACTCAGGGAACTAACTTGCTGAGTTTTCTTGCTAAACAAAAATGAGTGTGGCTCCAGAACACTGACTTTCAGCCCATTTATCGCCAAGTGCTGGTGTGATTTGGTTCAAGTCACACCTGAATTGCAGTGTTCTGTGGTAGAACGGGCCTTGGCAGACGGTTTGCACCACAGAAAACTCTTTTTGTTGGCTTAAATGCTGTTTCTTGTCAATAAAAAGACTTCACATCCATATAGAGGCAAATCTGTACTCTGCTTCCTTCTGCTCAGGGAATTCCAGTGAGCATCGTGTTCTTCAGCCCATCTGGTGTCAAATTTTGCCTCCAGCACATTCAGAAGCTTTCAGGGGATTTTATCAACAATATCAAGGTATCTTCTCGTTAAAACAAGAGGCAGTAAGTTTGGGGTGGGCAAATGAGAGATAGGAAAGCTGTTACACCCATTGCAAACCTTCCTTTTCTCTTTTGGTTGTGTTTATGTATCTGAAAAAAACATGTTATAGCAAATAAAATGTTAATATATGGCTGAGAGCCTTTTTTTTTAAAAAAAGTAATGGTTTTCACCTAGAATTTTTTTCCCCAACTAAGTTAACCCAGCCTCCACTGGGTGCAGCCTTTCTTTTCCCTTCGTGATGCGAAGGTGTGAGTAGTTCTTGCCTGAATCAGCCATTGAAATTCCTCTCGCTTTTCCTGTTTTGTGGGACTAAGAGCTTTAAACGTTTGTAATGGCGAGAGAAATAATAATCTTTCCTAAGTCATTTCTAAGTAGCTCAATTGATAGGTGGAGTTTAATACTGAAAATCTTCAACCTGCCATGGCTAGTACGGTTTAGTAAGCTCAGCCCTGCAAGTATGACTGGCAATGTCAGCAAAGAAGGATGTGTACCTAAGGAACTAGTTAAGATAACATCTCTGCCTACGGTATTGTAACTCTAAACTATGTCATTTCAGTTTGCTGCCATCGGCCCGACCACGGCTGAAGCCATGGAGGCAGCAGGAATCCCAGTGAGCTGCACGGCCGAGACTCCGACTCCCCAAGACCTCGCCGCTGGGATCCAGAAAGCGCTTCACCTACAGAACTGCTCTTTATCGAAATAGGAGCACAGCGCAGCATGTTTGAAGGTGAATATGGGGCTGCAGAAGGCTTTTCAGACCTGGTGTCCTGCAAGGAAATATTTTTCAGGACTATGCAACACTGTCCTTGTCAGGGCCTAGTGTGAGAAGCTTGCATCTAAATATCTAAAAAATCTCAAATTTGTTCAGCGTATTTTAAAGCATCTAGCTCTTCCCCTTTTCTCATGTGTGCAGTGTAAATATTTTATGTGGACATTCCTTGAAAACTAGTTGTGAGAGGCTAACGTGCATCAGAGAGAAGTTCAGTGTATCACCTCAGGTATCTCCTTGCACATTTCTCTGCAGAGTCAGTTTTACAGGCACATCTTTTTTTTTTCTTTTTTTTTAAAAGAAAAGCACACTTACAATGAGGTGTTTTCTGTTGTAAAGATTACTTGTTCATTGTTCTGCTTTTCAAATATTTATCTGAAAATGATGATTGTAGATTCTCAAGGGAATAGAAAAATGTTTGCAGTGAAGTTGCACTATATGGAGATAATAGCAGGTCAGCTGTTGTCATTAAATATCCTTACAGTACAGGGTCTTAAAAAATTACGTTTTGGTTTCTATTCCTGTAAAGGAGGAGGATTTATTAATAGAGAAATAAACTGGCTTATCACCATTAATAGTGGCGTTAGAGTTGTGTTTTGGATGTGGTTTATGCTTTAGTTGTTTATCTGTGAAAGGAGAAAAAGTAATCCTGTTTAGCGCTAATGCTAAGAAATTCATAGAAAATTTAAATTGTAATCTACTCAATTATAATCCTCATGGAAGTCATTCATGTCGTTAGTGTAGTGCTGAGGTTCACTGAGTAACAGAGAAATCCTCATTTTACATTTCTTTTAGCTTAATTCTGAGTGTACAAGCTGAATTTCCAATCAGGCAGGATGCTCCACACCTAAGAAATCAGAGTTAATCTGAACCCAGTTAATGTAAGCTGCAGCAGACCGGGCACAATCCAACAACCACGTGGCTTTCTAAAGCAGCTCAGTTTCTTGAGATGAATCTCAAAAGTATTCTGATTGCTGGAAGAGAATGTTGAACAGTGGGAGGAATATTTCATCGCTGAAAAGGAGCATCCTGGAGGACACTGGAGTCAGTGTGGTGACTGGACGTAGCTGCAGGACAGTGTAGACGTGCCCCAAGGAGAGAAGGAACAGAATGATTACGCAGCAATTGTTGACTTTTCCCATCTTTTTTTTTTTTTTTTTTTTTGGGGGGGGTAGTGTGATTATAACACAGTGCTGCTCATCTCTTCAGTCAAAAATCCACTCCACCACAGCCAATTCTTTTGCTAGCCTAAGGTACATCTCGGTGTTTGTCTCGCTCATCAGCTCAGGCCCCGTTCTCAACCTCTTTCCCGCAGAAACAACCAGTAGCCACCATTTCCAAGTGACAGATACTTTCCCGTTTAACATAACGATATAAAAATGAGACAGCAAAGGAGATCCGGCTGGGTTACATCTGCCACATGAAGGTAACTCAGAAGAAGACCTGATCTGCAACAGAAGAGGTTAACCGAAGGGAGGCAGAGCTGGCAGTTGCTGTGGGATGTGGAGGTGACACAAACAGTTGCTGTGACTCACCTGACATCATGTCAGACATACTCAGTGTTTGTCATGAAAAATACCAGCTCTGTACCTTGGCTCACTGTGGTACTTAGTAATACATTTCTGGAAAAAGAGAAGAGAGTGTAGGATTGCAGCAGTTGAACAGCTTTTTATCCCTTCCCAGCGAGGAAAGACCTGACCTGGCTTTGTCCAAGGAGCCGTTTTACAGCTGAAACCACCATTCCTGGAGCGCAGTTGCCACTGAGTTCTCCCTGGGCTGGGGATTTGATCTTTTTAGAAGATCCATACATTATTCTACACAATTGGCCTATAGTTAGTTGCTGCTGGCTTTGCAATACCAATTCTGACTGTGTAATCCAGAAGCAGATGTTCTGCTGTAGAGGATCAGTTCTACCCAACCACTGTGGCATTCTTAAACCAGGGAGGGCCTAAGACACTTATTAGTAACTCAGCAGATTGCAGCCCTGTGAAGTACTGTAACAAAATGCAAGGAGTATTTTACAAGGAAGGGAGAAGAGGTTACACAACCCTGCTGCCTACTGCTCCTCCACCCCATCCCACACCTTCCCCTTTCAGCACAGATCCCCGCAGTGCAGTGCTGCTAAAATGCACTCGGGCAGGCAAAGCCTCTCCTGAACAGCCCCTTCAGGCACCTGTTGCAAGCCCTGGAGGACCAGAGGCTGCGCTCTAGCCTGACACTGCATCGGGTTTCTCCTGAAGACAGATCTGAGGATACACTGGTAAAAGTACATTTAAATTGTCAGGATAGAGATTTCTGTGAACTGGGGTTTTCTGGGTGAAAGCACACACCATAGAAAACGCGTTGTTCTCTGTCTCTCACCATTAAGAATCACCACCTCAGAGCAAGCAGCTGAAAAAGTTAATTTACTGCTTGTGTCTAAGTATAGAGATTAAAAAATTACATACAGTAGAAACTGTTGCTCCCTTTAAAGAGTGTAGTTTATACTTTCATTATACAATAATGAACCACCTTTATTTATAGAAAAACACTAAGACATCAGCTATTTTTGAAAATCTTACATTTAAATAATACATATTTCCAAAACCCAGAGTCCTCACATGCTGAGGATTACGACTGTGCTCATGTGTTAGGCCTTATGTTTGAGATTTTTTCCAGCCCCCACTGCCTTTCAGATAGTTTCAGTTCTGTTGAGCAGTTTGCTTCTCTGCTGAGGGTCATCATGAATAAAAACAAGGGAGATCGATTTGTGAGTTTATATTTAATAAATAAATTTTTATTTAAAAATATCCTCTCATTTATTCACAGTTTCAAGTCTGAAAAAGATAACACTAAATCAATTCAAACACAAATAAAACCATTCACCTTCTCGGGCAAATGAAATCCCAGTGCGGGCCAGTATTTGTGAGAGTCTCGCATCGAAGCTAGAAAGGCACAGAGTTTTGTGCAGGGGAGTGTCATCAACGTAGTGCGTTCTGTATTCAACAGAAGTGTCCCTGTGCAAGTGGAGTTCGCGTTACTGGTTAGAGTGTTCCACTAAAGCCTTGCTTACAAAGTACATTTCATTAAATATCAAACCTGTGCGATTACATTTTTATGCAAAACATTATATCACTGCAAAGGCCATTACCTGGAAGAGAAAAATCCTTCATTTCTCCAACATGAAAAATGGTGGAGTTATCTCCAGAACTCTTTCAAACAAAGAAACGCCAGTAACCGAACCCTGAGAAAAAGGAATTCCTATTCTTTCCCAGATGTACAATGTAACAACGCAGGTGATGATATCACCTTCAATAAATACTAATATCCCATGGGAAAAAAACACACTGATCCCACGCGGAGCAAGGCACTGTTTCTGCTGGTCTGCGGCGTTTCGGTCACTGAATTCCACCGTTAGTAGCATCGCTGTTCTGAGTCAGCTGCTCCAGTAAATTTAGGATTACCTCTACTCGTTCTAGCAGAGTCACGCTTTTGTTAGCAGTTGCACGCAACAGCAGGGAGTAAACTTGCTTGTTTGTTTTAAGAACGACTTCTTCTTCGTTAATGCCTCTAAAAAAGAGAAAACAGATAATACAACCTTATTGACCACAATATTTTATCCTGCAGATTAGCAAAATAATGATTAAATAACAACACTGGTGACGATTTCTGTGAAATCACATGGCTGGTGGTTTGATTCGAGTCCCTGTTTTCCTACCGTTTCACAGCACTGCGGGCAGAGCCTCTGTTTACACTGCAGGAGGGATAAGCCGTTCCAATTTTTATTCGGCTCCAGTTTGACCATTTTATTAACTCATAATCCCAAATCACACCGTAAACCCTCCAAATCCAGGTCTTCATGCCAAAATTCTCTACTTGAGTCTAAGTGTCTAAGCAGATCATGCGAGATGCAGACAGAGGCCTGACCGCTCAGGAGATGTGGGCTGATGGCTCCTGGCCATTGCCTGCCATCGGCTCTCCCCTCCAAACCACCATGGCCAGCATTTCCCAGTTGAGTCTGAAGCCCATGACCTGCCCTCATTCTCTCAATTCCACACATCTCGACTTTTTCCCTATGACAGAGACTTTTCCATGCTCAAAACCTCGACACAAAAGAGCTTCTCCTCTTATCACACACGTGCTGGCATTCTGCTTCAGCACTGCCACCCCTCCTCTGTTACATTTCGTGTCCAAGGCTAGAACCAAACTAGAAAAATTAAAAATAAAAAATGCTGTCATTGATATTATAAATAAAAATTAAGCACGTATATGTGCAAACAGCAGTCAGTTTAATTGCAAATGCTTGGGGAATTACCAAAAAATGGTGAAGTGGATTAAATTCATAACGCTTGGCAGAAATCGGACAGTTTTATTTATTAACCGGAACAGGTAGTCAATAAAAAGCCACCGAAATGCAAAGTATTTCCAGGATAAGTTACAATTCCCAGAACGAAGTATTACTTTCAATTACTTTTCCTCCACTTGACAGAGCCAAGTTCACTCACGCTTATGCACTGAACTTCTAGGAGGTAAAACTCTGATTTCATCCAGTTTTATTGCTGGTCTGCAAGTTTCACTATCAAATTAATTTTACCACGTTCTCCTGTTCTCTGCCAAAGTGCGTCTGAGAGCCTGAAATAGTGCTTGTGAGCTCCAACTCCCTCCCTTTTCAGCCTGGTATTAAAGCAGAAGGCAGACAGCATCTTCTGCAGAGCTGAACAGAGGAAACGTACCCAAGACTTACCCAAGGTACCAGAAAGGTTGAACTAAAGGTAGCTTTAACCTTAGCCTTAATCCACCGTTGTTTAAAAAGTTTAACGTGTTATGGCAACATTCTCATCTCATAGTATTCAAATTAAAACTATAACATGTTCCCTATATGGAATCTGCAGGACAAAACCCCACTTGAGAGGCAAGTGATGAGAAAGTAAATTGTGAAATACCCCACAAGACAA